GATTTCAACCCCAGAGCCTTGACATGATGAGAGGCTGTGGGCACCTCCCAGTCCTATGTGGGTGCCCAGCCCTCTATCAACTCTCCCAGCCAGACTCAAAGTCAGTGGGGAATGAAGATTTTTTCCTCTGGTTAAATCCTCAGATCACACGTGCACACAAGAGCTGATATAGCCGCTACTGGTGTCAAAATAGCATTTTCTACCTGCTGGTTGCAGGGGCCCCTTGTCAGGGGATGGAGAGAAATGTGCTTTTTTTTCCTCACTGCGTCAGGTGGGTACCCTGCCCATGTTAGGGCTCCAGGCTGGATTCAAAACACTGTGGTTTGCAAGGCTTTCCCTCTGGGCAGTATCACCAGTAATGGGCTGCTGCAGTTTGCTCTCACCTTGCTTTCCAAAGTTAGCATGTCCTCTAGGTCTTGGCTGCCAGGAATGTGTTTCTTGCTGCATATCTGTACCTTACATGCTGATCTGCGGCATCCTTCTTCTTTCTGTAGAATTTCCACTGAAGAGGTCTCTCCAGTCTCCCTTGGGAATGCACTTCGCCACTTTTTTCTGCTATTTCCACCTCACCTATAGTAGTAGGTCTTTTCCCTATTCAGCCATCTTGGAATCCTCCCATTAACTTTTTTGAAAATATTTAAGACAATAGATTTAAAATATTTGCATAGCAAATCCAAATGTTCCCTGGGGGAAAATTTCTTTTAATTTATATATTTTAGTATTAATGGGTCACAGTTTGTTTATTTGCATATTTCATACTTTCTTGTTGAAAACTGAACATTTTTGTCATTACAATATGGCAACTGTGAAAATCAGATTATCTTTTCTCCTTTGGTTCCTTCCCACCACCAGAAACCTTTTATTTAAGAAATACAAGCTTCATACATTTCATAATTACAACTCTAGGAACATGGTGATTCTTCCTGCTCTACCCGCCCTCCACCCATTCTCCCACCACTCTCCTGCCTCCCTTTCCTATTCCCACACTTATTTTATTTTTACTGAAAACTATTTTCAGTTAACTTTGTACACATATGATTAACTCTATGTTAAGTAAAGAGTTCAACAAGTAGTATGAAAAAAAGGAACTGTTCCTCAACAGTCAAGACAAGGGCTGTTCAAAGTCATTGCTTTTCAAAATGTCAATTTCACTTCTGCAGATTGCCTTTTAGTATGAGAGGTCAGGGAGAACATATGGTATTTGTCCTTTCGAGACTGGCTTATTTCACTAAGTATAATCTTTTGCAGCTTCATCCATTTTGTTGCAAATGACTGGATTTCATTAGTTTTTGTTTATGGCTGTGTAGTATTCCATTGTGTAAATATCCCATTATTTCATTATCTGTTCTTCAGTTGGAGGGCATTTGGGTTGATTCCACATCTTAGCTATTGTGAATTGAGCTGCAGTAAACATGGGGATACAGATAACTCTTTCATATGATGATTTCATTTCCCTTGGGTAAATTCCCAGGAGTGGGATGGCTGGGTCATATGGTAGATCTGTATTCTTATTTCTGAGGTATCTCCATACTGTCTTTAGATTTTACATTTCTACCAACAGTGAATTAGGGTACCTTTTCCCCATATCCTCACCAGAATTTGTTGATTTCTGTGAAAGCCATTTTAACTGGCATGAGGTGAAACATTGTGGTTTTCATTGGCATTTCCCTGACAGCTAGTGATCCTGAGCATTTTTTCATGTGATTTTTGGCCACTTGGATTTCCTCTTAGGAGTTCTATGTGCTTCCTGTACTTAAACATCCCTTTCTTTCTCCAAATTAGGGAAGTTTTCTGTAATTATTTCACCAAAAAGCCTTCTAACTCATTCTCTTTTTTCCATGCCTTTAGGAAGTCCTAAGACCCATGTGTTTGGTCATTTGATAGTATCCCATAGATTTCTAGTAGTGTTTTTTAGTTTCCTAATTTCTTCTCTTTTTTATCTGACTGTAAAATTTCCAGAGATTTGTCTTTTAACTTGGATATTCTTTCTTCTGCTTCACCAAGTCTGTTGTTAATGCTTTCTACCGCATTTTTAATCATTCTATTGAATTCTTTATTTCTAAGATTTTGTTTTGATTTCTGTTTAACATCTCAATTTCATGGAGAAAATTTTCTTTCATGTCATGTACAGATTTGCTTGTGATTAATTCTAAATAATACTATAATCAATTTTTTGAATTCCATTTCTCTATTTCTTCAATCTCTTCATCTCCACATTCTAGTATTTAAGTGTTATGTTCTTTTGGGGGCATGATGTTGTCTTCCTTATTCTTCTTTCTTGGCTTTTACATTTGTTATTTGGCATTATGGAGGTACTCATTAGTTTCTTTTTTGTTTTGATTTGTTTTTTCTCTCTGATGGCTTTTATTTTCAGACTATGCCTATGTGGTTTAGTGCAGTATCTGCTCTTTCAGTGAATACCTAGAGGCACGAGGTGGGTGTGGCCTGGGAGCTCTGTTCAGTGCTCCAGGGTGAAGGCAGTGTCCAAGGTAACACCCAGGTTGAGGTTGGGTGTGGTAAATCTTTTTTTTTTTTCTTTTTTTTTTTAATCAGAGGGGAGGTTTTTCTGCTCTTTTGGCATAGTCTCATGCTTACCTCTTCTTTTCAAAGGAGACCAATGCCTGGGCACAAACCCCAGTGGGTATAATGCACATCCACACTGTCACAACAACCACACAAAGGATCTGTACAGTCCTTGATGTAACCATGGATTCTACAGCAATGACCCTCACCAGGGAATCAGGGAGCCCCGAGCATGTGGAGTTTCCCACAGTGACTGCACAAAGTCCCAGCCATAGCCTGAGCTCTGCCATGCAGCCACAGTATTTTCACAGCCCTGGCTCCAGACCTCCCACAGTCATGCTCATGACCCAGCCCCCTGTCAGTTCTCCCAGCCACACTCAGGCTTCTCTGCTCAGCTAGTCCCTGGGCACATTAACTCAGGCTGGTACAACTATTACCACTTGCTGTAATTGTTTCTTTAGATATTTTTAAAAATCAATTTGGTAATCTTTGTCATGTGTAGTCTGTTAAGTCTCTAATCTCTGTTACTTCAGTTTAGTTGTTAGCCAGAGCATTGATAGCAGAGAATACCTTAAATGACTAGGGCAAAGAAAGAAGAATAAAAATTCTCAAGTTTTTCACAGATTGGCTCTGTGTTGGTTCACTGCTTCAAGCTGCCAAGCTTAGCTTCAAGCTTAGCCAGGCCTTTTTCCCTCGCCTGAGCATTCACTTCTTGCTTATGCTAAACCTTAAAGGTCCACCAGAATGGAAAACCTGAGGTCTTCTCAGGGTTTTTCTTTGCATTCACTATGACCTAGGCATGTGCAAAGCTTTCTAGATTGTCTGATGTTGCAGGATCTTTTTAAATCCCTTATTTTTTTAAAAAATTTATTTTATTTTATTTTTGACAGGCAGAGTGGACAGTGAGAGAGACAGAAAGAAAGGGCTTCCTTTTGCCGTTGGTTCACCCTCCAATGGCCGCCGCGGCCGGCACGTTGCGGCCGGCACACTGTGCTGATCCGAAGGCAGGAGCCAGGTGCTTCTCCTGGTCTCCCATGGGGTGCAGGGCCCAAGCACTTGGGCCATCCTCCACTGCACTCCCTGGCCACAGCAGAGAGCTGGCCTGGAAGAGGGGCAACCAGGACAGAATCCGGCGCCCCGACCGGGACTAGAACCCGGTGTGCCGGCGCCGCAAGGCAGAGGAGTAGCCTATTGAGCCGCAGCACCAGCCTTAAATCCCTTATTAAACGAGGTACCTTACCACCTTTTCTCTCTAGGTTCTCAGTGTGTTTCTTATTAGCCTTACCTACATTCTTCCCCTCAGATATAAGCACCTTGTTCATTTGCCTTTAATTTTTTTTTTAGGAAATTTTTTCGAAGTTACTGTTTCATGCTGAGAGAATTCCAAGTTAGGTAAAACAGAGGAGCACTCAGGAACATCAGTTTTTCAGGGTGCCCCCACACATGTCAAAACATAGAAACATGCTTCTTGGAAACAATACCTGTTCTGCTCCCCCTGGGACCAGGAACCCATAGAGGGAATACGGACTCCATCTTAAAGGCTGCTGCCAGGGTGGTGAGGGGTTTGGGCAAAGATAAGCTGGAATGTCAGAAAGCTCCCCTGCTATGTTTCAGTCCTTTCCTGGTTAAACACTTCCTCTGTTTCTGTAAGCTTCTGACTGTCTTGCAGAGTTCCAGTAAAAATGTATGGGTTTTCAAGTTTTTTTGTGCTTCTTGGGAGGGACAGGCTCTTTGGAGTTACCTTCTTTACCATTTTTGCTGATCTTGTTCCAAAACAGGAAGTCTATATATACTTCTTTCTGGTTTATGGAGGTCCTTAGAGAGTTAACAAACTCCAGAAATTGTATGATTTGCCTTTTTTCTGAAGTGAGGTTACATTATAGTCTCAATGGGGCCTATAACCCCCTAAAAATTTCAAGTATTACTACCTTAGAGGATCTATTTCAACATAAAGAACAAAACATTACTTATTATGTTATGAGGAAAAAAACCTTGTTTCAGATAGATACTTAGTTTCTTAGCTGATGCCAATATTTGCTGCAAACCAGATTAAAAAATACTGACATGTAATCTGTTAAAAACAAAGCACAAAAATTTCCTGTCAGTCTATCAATTTCACTTAATTTTTTTTTGCTTTCTGAATTAGTATAATGTATTCATGATTAAAGCCAAATAATCTAGTATTCTTTTTAAAAGTATGTAGAAATAATAAAATTTCCTATATACCCTTTATTTTCAGAATGTTTGATGACAGTTTTTAGAGAATCAATTCACATTATAGATTCATATTTTAGAAAACATATATTTAAAAAGGTTATTTATTTTCAAAAATTCCCTTTAAAGATTCTCTCTTCCTATTTTACCATTTTGAATATCTCATAAAATATATTGAAGAGATTTTTTTATACTATGAGAAAAAATAGCTGAAGAAGAAAAATGAATGCGAAGTGACGATACTTTTTTCTTTTTCTTGACAGGTTATTAACAAATTCAAACAGACTTACAACAACCAGAAATGCTGTATGGGCCCTCTCAAATTTATGTAGAGGCAAAAACCCTCCTCCAAACTTTAGTAAGGTATGATTAAAATATACAAATTAAGGGATGTACTTAATCAGTTTCTTTATAATAGATTTGTTCAAGTCGAAGGGATTCTATTTCTTTTTATTATTTTCTTTACCGATTAGATAATTTTGCATATATATGAAATTTAGATTTAAGGTGGAAAGGAAGTTTCTCTTCTACTCTTTCCTCTACCACTCAAATTCTGCCACACAATAGCAGCTCACTAGATGTTTTTATATGTCTTGCAGGGACGCTAATCTAGTTCTTTTTGTTTATGGAACTTGAAACTTGAAGACCTCCCTCCCCCTCAAATTAAAATAATTCATTCATATCTTGGTAGAAAGTCTAGAATGGAAAATGGTACAGATACCTTGTATAAACCATCTAACATTTTCAGTATATGTTACTTATCTAAGACATATGAAATAGTATTATCTAGGGGACTGGCGGTGCAGCAGGTTAAAGCCTTAGCCTGTAGCCCTGGCATCCCATATGGGCGCCAGTTTGAATCCCAGCTGCTCCTCTTCTGATCCAGCTCTCTGCTATGGCCTGGGAAAGCAGTGGAAGATGAAACAAGTCCTGGGACCCCTGTACCTGTTTGGGAGACCAAGGGGAGGCTCCTGGCTCTTGGCTTCAGATCAGCTCAGCTCTGGCTATTGCGGTCATTTGGGGAGTGAACCAGTGGGATAGAAGACTCTTTCTCTCTCTCTGGCTTTACCTCTCTCTGTAACTCTGTCTTTCAAATAAAATAATTCTAAAAAAAATAGTATTCCCTATAAAAATTATCTGTGCCAAATATTTATTGCAGCTTCATTCACAAGCACCAAAAATCTGGAAACAGTCCAAATATAAATCAGTATATATGAACAGATTATGGTGTATTCATAAGATGGAATATAACAACAAACTACTTATAAATGCAATAATGTGATTGTATTTCAAAAGTTTAAGCAAATGGAAAAAAACAAAATTGCTACATTTTGCATGATTTTATATAGAATGTTTTGGAAAAAGGCAAAACTGTAGAAACAAAAATTAGATTGGAAATTGAGGAGAGAGAATTGACTATAAAATGATAAAAAGAAACTTTTCTGGGATGATAGATATGTTTTCTATTTTTATCAAGTGGTGGTTATAAAACTGTATGTGTTTATCAAAATTCCAAGTAGAATACATACCTAAAAATATAATATTACTTCATGTAACTCACACCTCAATGAACCTAGTATTTTTTAAGACACTAAAAATAAAATTAATAAATGAAATGTTTCATCCCTAATTAGATCATGGATCAGACTAAATTTTTAGCTTTAAATTTTGAATATGATTCATACCTTAGGTAATAGTTTTGTGTCATTGTTATATTCCCTGGATATGATTCTTATAATAGAATATAGAGTACCCGTTTTCTTTGCTAAGTGTTTAGTGAATGAAGTTTCATGATGATGTCTGAAATTGGTTCTCAAATGAGCCAGTAAAAAAATTTATATATATATATATATATATATATGGAGAGAAAGTAAATATAGCCAAATTTTAATAAATAAGGAATTTAGGTGAGTAGCACATGGGTGTATACTATTTTTACAAATCTTTAGGTTTGGAATTTTCAAAACAATATATTGAGGAGGAAGCATACCACCTCCCATGAGACCAACGAGTACATAGTTGGTAACTGTCGCCTGGATTATTGCAGTAGCCTCCTAATATACTTTACTTTGTCGTTGTCCACCCATCATTTTCTGTACCCAAGAAAACCAAACTAGTTCTTTTAAAATGTCATTTATTCCATATCCTTTTTCAGAACTCTGCATTTCATATTCTTTTTCAGAACCCTATATTTTATTCAGTTTAAAAGATAACTTTGTTAAATGTGTCTTAAGAATTTTCATCACTTAACTCTTCTGCTATCTCTCTGCCTCATCTCCTACTATTCTTTTCATTTTACTGTAGCCACAGTGGCTGACTTGCTGTTTCTCAGACTCACAAAGCATATCTTAACTTTGTTCTTAACTGTTCTCTCCATCTGGAAAATGATCCATTCTTAAAAAATTATTAAGGACTCAAACCTCTTGTTTGTGTGATTTATAGCTAGTGACACAATATTAAAAACAAAAAACTAAGAAAAAAATATTTGTTAATTCATTTAAAAATAAAATCATTAAATATTCAATATGAAAAATAGTTTTCAAAAGGAGAAATTTGGTAAGATGAGTAGTTTTGATTTACATTTTTACAGATGTGTTTAGTATCTTGTAGACAACTGTGATTCTCATTTATACATCCACATTGTCTTCTTGATATGTTGTTTTAGTTAAAGTATATGAAATCTTTTCAGATATTCTTTGTTATCCCCCAAATTTGAGTGGTAGTTTCTTAAAGGTTAGTTTTATAGAAGAATCCACAAATTTAAATTTTTGTATTCCATTACTTTAAAATCCATTGGCCTTGCATTCTGAGTGGTTCTTTTTCTCACTCGATTTTATAACATCATACGTTGATCATTTGGGAAATACTTGGTTCATTGAATTATGTAGATCTACCAAATATTGACATACTTAATTATGCAATTTTTAAAAAAAATTACAGTAACTCCACCAGTTTGGGAAACAGTTAAACTTAATGGTGACAGATACACACATTTTCTATAATTCTAATACTTGAAATCTCAAAATTTATCGTTGTCAGCAAATAGTGATAATTATTTCCCCAAATGACCCAAGGCAGGCATTTGGTGCAGCAATTAAGCCACTTCTTGGGATGCCCATAACCTGAATTAGTGTCCTGTTCCAGTATCCAGAGAAGGCAGCAGGTGATGGTTCAAGTAGTTGATTCCCTGTCACTCACATGGGAAACCCAAATTGGTTTACTAGTACCTAGCTTCAACCTGGCCCACTCCTGACCGTTGAAGGCATTTGGGGAGTAAAGAGTAGAGGTATCTGTCTCTGTCTCTGTCTATCTGCCTTTCAAATAAATAAAATTTAAGAAGAAACAAAGAAATGAGATATTTACTTTATTTTTTTTAAATGTCCTCCAAATACCCATGACTAGATAAACAGACTTTCAAGTAAAAATGGTGTTCTGTAGAATAGAGTGGCTAATTCAGTTTGCAGTGCTATCACAAGAGTGTTTTTAATGGAGACCACTTTTCTGCTTTGTGTATATTTCCTACTTCATCTCACAAAATATTTTTTCAAAATTATGAACTCGGCTGGCGCTGTGGCTCACTTGGTTAATCCTCCACCTTGTGGCGCTGGCATCCCATATGGGCGCGGGGATCTAGTCTCGGTTGCTCCTCTTCCAGTCCAGCTCTCTGTTGTGGCCTGGGAAGGCAGTGGAGGATGGCCCACATGCTTGGGCCCTGCACCCACATGGGAGACCAGGAGGAAGCGCCTGGCTCCTGGCTTTGGGTCGAGCGCTGGCCGTGGCGGCCATTTAGGGAGTGAACCAATGGAAGGAAGGCCATTCTCTCTGTCTCTCACTGTCTATAACTCTTACCTGTCAAATAAATAAATAAAAAAAAATGAACTCAAGAATTGATATTTAATAAAATTAGTCATTTTTGCTGCTTATTCATTGTAATTCTTAAATAAAACTGTCCCCTCTTCCCTTTTAAGTGTATGTAAAGAAGATGAAGATCTATGATATAGTTTGGTACTACTGCTTTGATTTTTGCTATGAGTCAACAGTTTTGTCCACCATTCTTTTTTTTTCTTTAGGTCCAGTGTCGATAAATTTTTAAAATCGTGTCTTAGTGTTATTACAAAAATAGTTTTGACATTATATAATCCTCTAAAAGCATTTCAGGAATACCTTAGGGGCCCTTGGACCCTACTGTGAGAGCCACTGACCAATGACATTATTGCAGCTACTTGTTTGATTCCTTCACCTCTTTTAAGTGTTAGAAGTCCCCTTTTCCATGAGCTTTGCCCTGACTGCTGTAGTGAATAATGTCTTCTTTCACCAGCCCCAATCCATCAGTATTCCTGACCTCCTCATTTTATATTTATTTTTCCAAATTACCTTTTAACATAATATATATTTTTATTTTATGTTATATATATACATTAATTTAAGGTAAATCTCTCTTCCACTAGAATGTAAACCCCTTAGAGTTTTATCTCTTTTGTTTACTTATATATTTCAAATTTATAGATATTATCACCTTATTGAGCTTAAGACTTTGTTGTTAAGTAAACTTTCTGTGATTTTTCTATGAAAATTGTTATCATTTACTTTTAAAAAACTTTGTTTCTACAGTCATATTTTGTTTTTTCAAAATTAGTTTTCTGATTCTCTGGTGGCTCATCTTTATACAGAATTCTATTATTTTATCTTTTCTGAGGATTTACAGATTTTTTTGAAGTTCTCTTTTTTCTGGCATCTTTTTTTTTTCTTTTAATTACTGTTTATTGTCTGTCTTGGTCTCTTTCCTACTATTCATCTGCTATTGTCTTTGCTCTTTGAACATATTTAGGTGGGAGGTACTAAAAAAGGTGATCAAAAGATGGGTAAGGTTTATCCTCTCATGATCCTCAGGTAGCAGAACCACATTTTCTTGAAGGGACTTCAGATTTCAGGGTTTTTGTTTTGTTTTTTTTTTTTTCTGTGACCATTCTGTTTTTCTAGAGACAGATTTTTTTTTTCCCTTTTAATTCCCTTGCTAAAAAATGGGTAGATTAGTTTGGAATCTTCAGTAGGTAATATACCATAGCTATTGAAGACTGAAGACCTAAAAACTAGATATTGGGAAAGACAGCCAGACATTTTTACTGATTAATATATACACTTTTATTTATTTTCCCTAGATTTCTATCCAGTGCTTCATTTCAGCCTCCACAATGCCTGATCTCAAAGTTCAGTTTCTGTTGTTCACAATTTGTTGTTCAGTTTTTCTTTAAATCTCCAATCACCATGAACTAGTTACCTACTTTTGTAGTGGGGACCCACAGTTAATTTGCCTCATCTCAGATTTTTATTCCTTTCCTCTATTTTAGCACTATATTCCACAT